GACTGAGATCTAGAAAAGGGTAACTTACAGTCATATATCCCTCCCAATGAGATGATTTTCCTCTGCAATCTGATTTCAACAAGCTTTCATAGCCAGTTGAGCACAGCACATGTTTGGATAATCCTCCTCACAATGCTAAATATGTCTCTGGTCAAACCTTGTAGGAGTAAAAGGATAGGTGACCAAGGGCTTGGAACCTCTAAGATTTTTATTGAGTTAAGGGAGGGTAATTGTATTAAGACTTGGCTATAGCGGTATTTGGACCAAGGGATTTTGGTTACCTGCAGTTTACCTTTATATATTATTCTTGACCCTAGAGACCAGAGAAGTAAGGAAGGAGCAATATGTTCATCAGGACCCTAACTGCTAATTCTTTATTCCCAACCCACACTGGGTAAAATAATGAGTAAGGGCCATTGATTGCTCTGTTGGAAGAGGTAACTTAATCTCAAAATTATCTCTTGTTATTCATGGGGTCCAGAGGAACAACATTGTTTTTGCAATTACGTAATCTGCTGCGTATTGGGGCAAGCGGGAGAGAGAACCATTTTCATGGATTTCATTTATTGCTGGCTGATATATGTTTGATGTATTGCCAGTACCCTTTCAAAAACATATGATGCAAATCCAGTATGTGCGTACTATGCTCATGTGAGTCTATTCAACCTGTTTCAAAGCCGACGGTTTTAAAAGCTTTTTTGATAAACAAAAATCACATTAAAATTCCAAACAAAGACTTTAATTTTGACCTTGCAAACCTTTTCTGCTTTCCACTGTGTGATAATTAAAATTTCAATGCTAATTGAGCTTTGTTTCATTTTTTTTTAATAAAATATATTTACTTGTGATTCATTAAGCTGAGATAAGCTTCAAAAGTTTAGTGGCTCTGAAAAAAATAAGTTGGTGACAAAAACTGTTGCTTTGTTTTTTTTCATAAATTGCATAAAACATGTACGGTTAGAAATGCAGTATAAATGCTCTCATACTTCTACAAAGAATAGATTGCATTCTAGGGAATAGCAGATACTGTAGAATTGTAATGTGAGGCTAAATATTGCAAGGGTTATTAAAAAAAAAAAAATGTGTGAATTGACTGAAAGTCAATGATAATCTAAACAGTCTGTTTTGGAGCTGAACGTAAATAAACAGAAAATATTAAATAAATAGTAAACAAATGTTGAACAGGGAACAAGCTATGGATGGACAGCTGTTTTAACCTTTTTAGGGGGATGATACATATTATCTAATCTGATAAAATATAGCTAGAAACTATAATTCACTCATGCATTCATTCATTCCACAGACACTTCATCTGTTTGCCATTTCTCACACAATTTCTGTTTGTAAGATTATTTACATGCTACTTTGTATTCCGTTTTCTTCATACGCTCAATACCCATATATATTTTTTGTTATTGTTGTCATTGTCTCATTTATTCCACAATAATGACGCAATGTGCTGTGGGTCTCCGGTTGTTTTACTAACTCTTTAATCACAGGTCATCTGATAGAACACTTACCTAAAACAGTTTTTATGATAAACTTACAATGGAAGCTTTAACCTCAAGAAAATGACCAAAGCCTGATGTCTGCCGGTAAATGTCCTGAGAGAGCTATAGTCGCATAGATTAAAAGGGTAAAAAAACGTCACACAGTACATTATGAACAGTGATTAAGGAATACATTTTGCGTATGAACAGTTCGATGAAGGAAAATGCAAAAAAACCAGCTGACAAGTAGACACTTTTTGTAATATACCACCGTATCTCAAGAATCTTATCTTTGAAAGTGAATAAAGTGCTGAATATGAAGATAAGCAAAGTGGCTTTTGGGAGATTATATTTCCCTGCAAAGTATTTTATATATAAAAAAAAGAATGCATTTTTTTCATATCAACAGAACCTTTAAACTTCTTCACATCATGAATTTCACATGTACGAAGGACTTATCAGATCTCCAGGATTCTGAAAGACAGAGATAAAAAATGAAAATATTGTAAGGTATCTTAGGACCTTGAGAGCTTATTATGGAGTGCTAAGAATTATATAATTGCAATTCAAAGACAAGAACTGTCATACCTTGTATGGGTGAGAATTATCAATTAACACCAACCACTACTTAAATTACATGTAATATATTTTACCTCTTGTTTTTTAGCCAATGTGTAAAAAAATCATTGAGCTTGAAATGAAAAGAAAGGTATTTGTATCACGAAAAGAATGAGAAAGAAATGAAAGAGTGTAAATAGAAAATGAGGGGAAAACAATTACAGTACGTTGACATTGACTATCTACGTTGGATATTGTATGTCTAGAAAATGTAATTGTACTTGCTAATTTTTTAAATTTTAGGATAGGGTACACAACTTCTCATTTGGTGACATGAGATGAGTGAAGTTGTGGTGTAATATATTTTAAATTAGTGGTTAAAATACTGAGGGGGTGGCTGGCGTGGATATGGAAAAAAAAAGACATCTCAGGTGTATTGTACATGGTACCCCATAATATCTATGGATATGTATGCTAATGCAGTAACAATAAGATTTTAGCAAATTAAACTGAAGCTGTCCTAAATCTTCCTTATACAGGCTAAGATATATATTGTTTAAAGAGGTCACCAAACGATGATGATTATACTGTTGTAACGGTTGACATTCCTCTATTCAGTAAACAGCATATTCTATGTACAATGTGGGCTCTATTGCAAATAGATGTTTAAGATTACACTGTAGACTTTTCACAAACCTGCTGCTTAGGAGGGCACAGGTTCTATCTAACTTTTCTATTTCATTAAGACATCTGTTTAGGAGGTCACAGATTTCATTTACAATGCTACAGGTTACATTCCTCTTCAGCTTTCTGCAAATACCTGATATAACCCTTTGTGTTAGCCTTGTGTCACACAGTAAGAAACCCTTAATTTATATTAAAAAGGTCAACTTCTCCTTACTGTCTGCATAGAAAGTATGTACAGATTTATGTCCTAGACAAAGGTGTGTCTGCGTCTGGAAAATCCTTATTTTAAAAAAAAAAAATAACATCCCAATTCTGGCAATTTTTGTAGCAGGGTTTTGTATAACATCCTGGTACCCTATTAATAATAGTCACTCCTTGACACAATATTTATAGCAAGCACATAGGCATTGGTGCACACATAAATTTTAGCAAGGAAACCTTGAAACATTGACTTATTTGTAAACCATCATTTATATTTACAGATGCTGTAAGAGACATCACTAGAGAAATAACCTCTCCCTTGCTGCAAAGTGGGTGAAATAGATCCTCCTGTTGATTTCTGGGTGGTCTTTAGAATGTCAACTGTTTACTAATAATCTGGGTGAGGGCTTGGAGAGAACCCTACGTAGAGGGCAGTGACCTCCTTATTCCTCATACTCCTGGAATCCTTTTTTCTAAAATGGAACACTCCCAAAAGACTTTTCACTAGATTAACCATATATGAAAGTCCAATGTGCCCCATGTTTTGGACCCTAGTACACTTAAACTCTGTTCCGAAGACAAGCGTAATGACATTGCTCCACACATTCTTCAACCACTGCATTACATTTAACTACAAACATAAAAACTACAGGTCTTCAAGCCCTAAAACAAGGAAATAGTCACTCACCCTTTGTCAGAATGACTATGATGTCTACTATACATGAGTATTTGCCCACAGTCAGAGGTTACAGACTCATGAATTGGTTCACAAATTTCTTAGAACGTCACCTCCTGTAGTTTGTAGTGGATGCTGTAAAAATGAATTCACTTCTCCCAACAGCTACATTCCTGGGAGAGTTTCACTGTCACTCGTCAATGTAAAAGGACATTACTTATAGACACGCTCTGCTATCTTGTCTCTATTGACCATGTGGAGTATGGTCCATAACTTTTTTTCTTGAGAAAGCCTCATTTATTGGGGCAAAACGCATAGATGGTGCTGGCGGCATTTTAGCCTGCTATCTTGAGAAGTACAGACTTCATTTCAGCGGGAGCAGGGTTTGGCGTTCTTCAGAGGGACAAGTCATCTCACCTGGCTCAAGTACACTAAGCGGATCGTAGTGGTGATTCCACCAAGTGGTAACCCTTAACTGTTTCCTGCATATTGTACTGTGCATCATGTTTTATTAGTGGTACTTAGAGACGAGCACCACAATATTTGTAAGAGTTTTCATTTAGGGGATTTAGTATTTTTTTAAAATAAATAAACCGTATCACGCTATGTTTCTATCTCTCTATTATTTTTAAGGTGGATACAATATTGTGAATTGGATACAGAGGTGATCACACCAATTAAAAGGACACTATAGTCACTAGAACAACTACAGCTTACTGAATTTGTTCTGGAGTGTAGAATCATTACCTTCAGGCTTTTTGCTGTAAGCACGGTCTCTTCAGAGAAAATGCAGTGTTTACATTACAGCCTAGTGATAACTTCAATGGCCACTCCTCAGATGGCTGTTAGAGATCCTTCCTGGGTCATGGCTGCCTAAAATGCATCCAAACATTCAGTATCTCCTCCCTCTGCATGCAGACACTAAACTTTCCTCAGAGATTCATTAATTCAATTCATCGCTATGAGGAGATGCTGATTGGCCAGGGCTGTGTTTGAATCATGCTGGCTCTGCCCCTGATGTGCCTCTTTGTCAGTCTCAGCCAATCCTATGGGGAAGCACTGTGATTGGATCAGATTACCACTACTGATGATGTCAGCAGACTGCTTGTTTTTTTTTTTTTTTTTTAGGCAAACAGAATTAGAACTTCAGGCCTGAATACAGTAAGATTTTACTATATTTATGGATGCATGAGGGGCCCAGGGGGGCTAGATGGTGGCGTTAACACTATAGTGTCAGAATACATGTTTGTGTTCCTGACCCTATAATGATCTTTTAAGAGCTGGATACTGTTGCAAATGGAGCATTACAGTTAATATCATTCCCCCCTGACACCAGATCTTTTCGACAAAGTTTTTATATTTGTTTATTACACCTAAACATTGTTTTGGGACATATTCACTAAGAGCTTACACTTTTTGTTTTTCCACGGTCCATAACTTTACCACCCATGGTTTGGGCTGCTGCTTTTGGGCCATTTTTAGTATAACAGAGGAGAGACACAGTTGGAAACCCATGGTAGGTTCTCAGGTCTTGTTACATTCACATGATGTTGTTGGTAGAAAAGCTGCTCTACATCAGGGGATCTCCCACACCTGCTACTTTACTCAAATGTTTAACTGTTTACAAAACGTAATCTACTAGACCCCTCAGAAACACTACTCCACAAATATACATTGACGAAAAATGTTTTGATAAATGGCCCTCCTTCATTTAATTCCTCAAGAGATTCAAATCAATACTATGTATCTTTCTTGCATACCAAATGTGACAAGGCCCTATCTTATATATGAAACAACTCCACCTGTCAATCACTATATACATTCCTAACTCTGTCACAAGATGGTTAATATCTTTTCTTTTTTCCCATGATGATAATGTTCACGATCAATACCAACCCCAACTTTCATTTCTGGGTTGGCAAGGGGATTTATCAATATTAATTTATCCATTTTTGTCTCCCACTTGCTCAAGTTATAGATATTTATTGCACTTAAAGGACCACTTCAGCTTAATGAAGTGGTCTGGGCGCCAGGTCCATCTAGGTTTAACCCTATCTGCTGTAGACATAGCAGTTTCAGAGAAACTGCTATGTTTACAGTGCAGGGTTTATCCAGCCTCTAGTGGCTGTCTCATTGACAGCCGCTAGAGGCGCTTCCGTGCTTCTCACTTTGATTTTCACAGTGAGAAGATGCCAGCGTCCATAGGAAAGCATTGAGAATGCTTTTCTATGCACTGGCTGAATGCGTGCGCAGCTCTTGCCGCACATGCGTATTCAGCCAACGACGGGAAAGAAGGATAATAATCCCCAGCGCCGAGGGAGCCCGGCGCTGGAAAAAAGGTAAGGAATTAAACCCTTCCTCACCCTAGAGCCCGGCGGAAGGGGGGCCCAGAGGGTGAGGGGGACCCAAGGAACCTATAGAGCCAGGAAAACAAGTATGTTTTCCTGGCACTATAGTGGTTCTTTAACTTTCTTTTCTGTGACTTGTGCATTAAGTTGGTGGAAATTCATGTTATTTCTTATGTGCATGATTGTATCCTGTCTTGTGTTCAATGCGTATACATATGACCTTTAAAAGATGGAAAATATAGGAAATTAATATAGGATGCCATTTATAGAATAGATGCCCTAAGAGAGAAATATGTTCCCTGCAGGTTGAAATCCAGTCCTGGAGGAAACCAGGACTCTATGGTTTAAATTACATTTTGCACTAAATTACAATGAAATTCAGAAGGCAGGACATATATAGATATTATTCACAGGAAAGCAGTTAACTCACCAAAACCCACGGACGAATATATACCATAGCTTAAAAACCAACTTTGTTTTTGCTCAACATAGTTGAGTAACACATGAAAGACTTGTTTTGGTTGTATTGCATGGAAAGTCAAAATGCTGACTTCCCAGTATATTACTAAAAACATTGTAACTTCCTTTGCTGGTCCCAAGTCAGCAGATAAAATGACACTAGCAGTCAGTATCGTCTAACATTTCAAAATCAAGACTTATGGAAATTATTTACTGAGTCATCACTCCCACTGTTTTTAATTAAATATTTATTATTAATAGTATTTTAAAAACAATTTGACTAACCATTTATGACTGGCTTAGAGGCTTTTTCCCCCTCTAAGATTGTTATTTTACCCGACAGGATGAACCTTAGTAACCTCAGTCCCAAATGAATATCCTTTGCGGACAGACTCCAAAATAAAAAAGATTAAAATTCAGTTAAACAAGCCAATTGTGAAATTGTACAAAAATTACATTGAATCAGGGGTGCAAATATGGCCAAGCATTCAACAGGTTAAAGGGTTACTCTAAACTTTCTTAACTATGTTTTAAAAAAACCCAACTAATAATGCCCCATTGGGAATGATTCTTTAGGTCCCTACTTCAGACGTTTTAAAATAAATAATAAAATAAGGTTGTACTAACCTGTAATCCAGTGTCAGGTGAAGGTCTAGTGCTCTTACCACGCCACTCCTGATTTTAAGGGAGCTGCAACAAGGTCCAATCAAAGGTTCTAATAGAGAAGACTTTTATTGAACTGGTTAGCTGATTCAGAGCACATGTGCGTGGTCTGAGTTTGTGAGGGGGACAGGTAACTGTGAAGGAGACAGGGAGGAGCGAACTTAAAAAATAAAAATTAAAGAAGGAGTTTGGGAGACGGTGGAGCTGCAGTGAGGGAGGGAGGGAGGAAGGGGGGGGGAGGGGGAGGGAGGAGAGGTGCAAGTATCCAATTGAGCCTGCAAGGAGAAAAGCAGATAATGTTTGACCCCAGTACTGACAGCATATTTAAAATTTGCACAGAATTGACATTTGGCAGTCTGAAACAGTTACATGATGCGAAAGTCATGTGTGCCGGGGTGTGACTAGCACGCGGCACAAAAGTGCAAAAAATACACTGCAAAAGTGCAAAAAACAAAACAAAAATACACTGCACATCCAGATTCCTTCCTTCATGACCATTCTTAAAATCAAAAGTGGTCATGAACATTGGAGTAACCCTTTAGCAAAACAAAACAAATATTCACTGCTTTTCGACAATTCTGAATACTGTTACCAGTATAATGCTTAAATATTGTAAAACACCTGAACATTTATAACATCTGTAGTGTGTTGGGCTTTGTGATTTGCTCCACTTTTTATTATTTTTCTCTTTTAGTTTCAGTTTGTACTCATGGGCGTCCGCAGGGCCCCCTGGATTTTTCAGCTTGTTCTGCTATTTTGTGTGAGATTTAAAATGAACTGCAATACCGTGTATGGAGAGAGACAGGGATAGGAAGCTGCATCTTATCCCTGCTTCTCTCTGCTGATTGAAACCGCAGGGGAGCAACACCTGCAGCCAGAGACAGCCTACAGATCAGGTAAGTGAGGGATGGGGGGAGGGTTTGAGAGGGGGGGCAGCAGCCTATAGATTTGGGGTAGCAGATAGATTTGGGGGCAGCAGCCCATAGATTTGGGGAGGGGGGCAGCAGCCTATAGATTTAAAGGCAGCAGCAGATTTGGGGCAGCAGCCCATAGATTTGGGGCAGCAGCCCATAGATTTGGGGGCAGCAGATTTGGGGGCAGCAGCCCATAGATTTGGTGGGGCAGCAGCCCATAGATTTGGTGGGAGCAGCAGCCCATAGATTTGGGGAGGGGCAGCAGCCTGATTTGGGGGCAGCTTTAGATTTGGGGGCAGCAGCACATAGATTTGGGGGCAGTAGCCCATAGATTTGGGGAGGGGGGGCAGTAGCCCATAGATTTGGGGAGGGGGGCAGCAGCCTATAGATTTGGGGAGGGGGCAGCCCATAGATTTGGGGAGGGTAGCAGCAGCCCATGGATTTTTTGGGGGGCAGCAGCCTATAGATTTGGGAGGGCAGCAGCCTATAGATATATAGAAATGAACAGGAAGGGTCAGCAAGGAGCTGGAAGGTAAAGCAGCACAAAGGTAAAGTAGAAGGAGCAGAAAGGGTCAGAAATGAGCTGGAAGGGGCAGAAGGAGCACAAACATAAAGTAGGAGAATGAGCAGGAAGGGCCTGCAAGGAGCACAAAGGGACAGCAAGGAGCACAAAGGTAAAGGAGCAGAAAGAATCAGAAGGCGCACAAAGGTAAAGTAGGAGAAAGAGCAGAAAGGGTCTGCAAGGAGCAGAAAGGGATCAGAATGAGAAAGGAGCAGAAGGGCGCAAAATAAGCAGAAAGTAGCAGAAAGGTAAAAGAGCAGAAGGGGCCAAGGATAGAAAACAGTGTCAGAAGGAAAAAAAAAAGACTGTCAAATGAAGGAGAGGAAAAGGAGATTGGAGCAGGAAGGACAAATGAAGTCAACCCTCCACTTTATTCTGGACACCACATCATAAGGCTTTGGTACCTGGGCCAGGCAGGGAAACGCTGGACCTTCTCATCTCCAAAGGTAAAAAAATATCAGTATTAATGTGTTCACTTTTATTTACTGAGTGTCAGGAAGCACAGAGTGCCGTTGGGTAGGGGTGTTGCTGATTGGCTAGAGCGGTCAGCTGGCACTCTAAGCCAATCAGTAGCTCCCCATTCATAAAAAAGTAAAAATATTTTATGAACCGGGAACTAGCGATTGGCTTAGAGCGTCAACTGACCACTCTAGCCAATCAGCGGCACCCATGCCTGACGTCAATCTGCACTTCCTGACACTCTGTTTCAGAAGCCAAATACCACTGAGCGACCTGGAGCTGGAGGAAGCCTTTGGGTTAAACCATTTGAGAGCGATTTAACCCCTTAAAGGAAAGCGAGCACCCAGGGGCTTCCTGGCATCATAGCATTTTCATTTAGGTGAAGTTGTTATGGTGACCAGAATGGTCCTTTAATTTGCTTAAAGGAACACTATAGTGTCAGGAATACAAACATATATTCCTGACACCATAGTTGTGAAAACGCTATTCACCCTGGCTTTATGTGATAATGGCTATGCCCCTTCCCTTTCATGACACTGTCAAAAAGGTACCAAGCATGGATGTCATTACAATAATGCCCCCCCCCCGGAAAAATTCCTGCGGACGCCCATGTTTGTACTCTTGAACCGTTATTTTGTAACTTGCCTTTGTGTCTTTTAAATGTTTTTCCTTTGAAGTGTTTTTTTGTATTCCGTTTCTTGTATACATTCTGTGCGTATTATCTGACTTATAGTGTATAATTTTGCAATTCTGCCACGTTGCAGTGACAGGATCATATCAAAGCCCAGATGTGCGGAGAAAAAAAAAAAAGGATATCACATCTGTGATCTAAGTGTAGGCTGACTCTATACCCTGGAATACAAAATTAACAACAACAAAAAAAAAACTGGAGAAAAAAAGACTGTCCAAAGAACACGCATCTGGAAACTATTAAAAGAGTGAATAAAAAAAAAACAAAAAAAAACCATGGGATTATTGCTGTTTAAAAAATAGAATTCATATATATATATATATATATATATATATATATATATATATATATATATATATATATATATATATATATATATATAAATAATCGCTGAGCAAGAAAACACTGTTTGTGAGGCGTTTAATGCAGCAAAACACCAAGAAATGTAAAAAAAGTAACCTGCAGTAACATGTAAGGTGATCTAAGGGGTAGACTGAACTACGACTATATTAAAAAATGAAGTATTTTTTAAATAATTCTTTATTTTTGTTGTGCTAAAAAATACAAACATGCTTGCAGAGCCCCAACGGTAAG